TACTAGATGATGGTCATGATGTGACTGCAGCTGGGCTTTTTCCAGAACTGAGCTGTTGAAGGCACCCTGCCTTTGAGCTGAGTAACACTTTTCTCTTTATAAAGTTAGCTGCCTTGGGTATTTTGTTGTAGAAACACAAAGTATAAAGCAACAGAGAAATTTCTGTCCCAGAAATTAGCAAATGTTTGCTAAATCAGAAATTTTTGCCATCACCTTTGCTAAACCTGATATTATTCTAAACCTAACTTGACCTATGTAACTAACAATGGGCTTATGCACTGTTTGTTATTAGAGTAAATCTATCAGATGTTCCATAGCTGCCTGGGATGAAGAAAAAGGCCTAGTGAAGTCAACAATTTTCGTTGTCTCTAGAATCTTCAGTGGGCAAGAAACTTTGGTTGAGCTTTAGAAAGACACAAAGGGAAGTAGAAAACTTGAGCCACTTATGAGGATGCATCTTTAAAATGATTTCCTATCTATTTGGTTGATATTAAACCTCTGCTTTAGTTATATAGGTAATCATTTTTCCAGGTAGAAAAAACATGTTCTCACGAACTATCAGACATTGTGGCTGAGCCGAATTGGATATAAAGCTATCTTTATGAGACTCTTTAGTCACAAGACACACTGATGTAATAATGTCCACAGCAGGCTCCATTTAAAGAAGCAATATACTGGAAATTGCTATGGAGTGAGATGATTCCATCAAGACAGCTGAAATATCAGATGATCTATTTTTGTCAGTTCCACAAATAACTTGCCATTGCATTTCTAATACACAATGCCTACATACCTTAAAAATTAAGTTCTAAGTGAAAACTCAACTAGCATCATACTTGTTTTGTTTATTTATTTGGTTTAGTACTAGGGATTGAACCCTGGGTGGTTTACCACTGAGCTACATCCCCAGCCTTTTGTATTTTTTGAGACAGAATCTTGCTAAGTTGCTTAGGGTCTTACTAAGTTGCTGAGGCTAGCTTCAAACTTGCAATCCTCCTGTTTCAGCCTTCTGAATTGCTGGTATTACAGGCGTGCACCACGGTGCTTGGTGGGAAACTGGCTTTTAACATAACTTTCAATGACATCACCTTATGAAGCGGATACAGCCATTTTACAAAGGTCATCACAAGGCCTTCCACTTTGTGGAACTTCATTATAAATATTTGGTTTAATTTTTACAACGGGAAAATAGAGGCACAAATGTTTAGATGACAAGTACAGTGAGTAATACCTGCTTACCTCTTAAAACTGCTTTAAGAAACTGCTTACATAATACCCATGAAATTGATTTACAAAGTAAACATAACAAATGTTTCCACAGTAAGAAGTAAACCCATGATTCGGTCATGGCCACCATATTTATGTCCTAAATCAATGCTACCAGATGTTAATCTATCAGGAATCACCTGGAGATCTCTCCAAAAAGCAGGTTCTAGTAAGCTCCGGGGTGAAGATGAGATTCTGTATAGGCAATGGGGGATGCTAATGCAGCATCTGGAACCATTAAGGATAGCATGAAACTTGAAACAGCATCGTAATTCTTGGTGCACAGTCGACATACAAAGGTACATTTCCTGAGTATACTGCAAAGTATCTTGGGTATTTTGCAAAGTACATTATAAAACTCCATGCTGAGAGCTTCTGACTGAACAGACCTCAGGTAGGGATGATGCTGATGCTGTGGGTCTGGAGCACACCTAAAGCAATACTGGGTCTAGACAGCAACATTTCAAGGTTGCTCATTTCTGTGAGAAATGAGTCCAGGAAAACATTAGCAATTCTTTTTTCAAGGGGTGGACCCCTATCTCAATCACAGTCACCCCCCCACACCCCGCAGTGCCTAGCACAGAGCTGGCTCCCAATATACATTTATCAAATGAATGACCATTATAATTTCCATCTCCAGGTACAAGTTTACCACTTGCTCATTTATATGTGCTACAGGCACACTGATTTCAAAACAATGGCTACATGTGTGCCAAGGGATTATCACATCTACCCTTAAGGAGTTTACAGTTAAACTGACCTCTATCATAGATGCTACTATCATACTTTTTCCTTAAAATTTTGAGCCTTCTACCACCATGCAGAAAACAGAAAACTCTGGCATCCAAAGGACCCTAAAGAATAACTTAGGCATGATGGACCTTCAACATATGCAAAAAAACCAAAAACAAAAACAAGAGAATTTTCCCATAGGGAACACAGTATCTGTGTTCACACGGAAAAGTGTCCTTCCAGTTGCCAGAAGGCAGAGATTGGCCTGGAAACAGAACTAGGTAAAAGTGCCACAAAGCCTTTATGGAATTCTTCCCCAAGCCCTCTCACATCACTGAGCACAGCTCAGAAGGGACTTTGGCAGTCACTTTTCAAATCTTCTGCCTGATCTCCATGTTACCATAGTCACATTTGCTGGGAAAAACAGGTGTTTCTGTTAAAATTAGCTGTTTCAAACTGCCAAACATTTTAGATCTCTATGCCAGTTCAAGAAGAACAGTGTTTATAAAATAACCAATCAGATGTTAACTAATGCCTCCAGAATTATAGAGGTTGGGGGAGAACACACAAATGAACCCACACACACAGTTAATTTTTTGCATTTGCTAACATCAACCCAGAATGAATAATAAAGACCGAACTTAAAACAGCCAAAGAGTGATGCTTTTTTTTTTCTTTTCTGGTTAAGTGAAGTCTTGTGTTTGAAAGCCTGTTTTGTCCCATTAGCTTGGGTTGACTGTCATAAATAATGGCTTTGTTCAGAGACTAAACTATAATGATTTCCTTTTCTCATGACCATTCCAACGTTGTCAGCAACCCCTGGGCAGGATGGTATGCATTAAGCTTGTGTAAGAAACCTTGCCCTGAGAAGTCAGAAGAACCCACTGATTGATGTCTTAAATTAACTGCAGTGTGGTTTACTTTAAGAGAAGTCAGGCCAGTCTGATTTTATTCCTGGAACCAGTATCTCTGCTGACCTTATTAAACCCTATTATGAAATAGGTCTGAGATATTCCTTTTCAAAAATAAGGCCATATTTTTAAAAACAAGTTTAGCAACCTGGTACACTGGAAGAAAGACTGTGCCCAAGTCCCTTGCCTAGTCAAGCGACGCAGACACTCAGAAATAATGTGCAGTATGTTCCTCACTCTGGCTTCTTGAAATCTGCTGGGAAAAACAATCTGATTATAATTCATTTCAAGACACCTGCTAAAAGAAAAGCCCTGAATCTTACCTCATGAACTGAGTAGGTAAAAGAGTTTAAGTACCACTTATATTAAGTTTGAAACTTTATCAGTTTGAGGACAGAGGTATTATATACCAGGTACATTGAGAGGTACTATCATTTGACTAAGAGAAAGTTTCCAAATTAATTTAGAGACTAGCTAGTCCAAGGAGATAGGGCAAATGATTTTATTTTTTCCTTACCATTTTTTTTTTTGGTTTGAATTTTTCTGAAAATTGCTTTTGTGAGAAATGAGTCCAGGAAAACATTAGCAATTCTTTTTTCTTAACTAAACCCTAAATTTAAAGATTTCTGGTTCTTATTTTACTTAGTATCTGTTCTTTTCAGTTTACTTCTTTTGTGATCTGCATAGGTTAAATGAGCCATATGGTTACAGATTCTATCATTAGTTGTATACATCCAATAAAGTAAGAATTTTATAGAATTGTCATTGACACATGAGTTCCCTCTCCCCAGCAAAATCTTCCTGAACCTGATCCAGATAGATACATTTTACAGAAGGGTGGGGAGGAGGAATAAACACTCAAGGTCACCTTCATCTTTTACTTTAAAAGTATAAACCTACCAGGTCCTTAAAAAGAAAAACAACTGCCCCCTTCTTTATGAAACATGTATGTACTCTATACCACTTTAAGACTTATTCAATTCCAAATTTGCAAAACGGTCCTAGTCTGACCCCCAAACAAATTGAAAGACATTTACACAATGAATTTCACATTCTTGCAATAAACACAGCCATTCAAACAAATAAAACAGTCAAAATGACTTTCTTCTCTCTAATGTATTACAGTGAAAAATTCTCTTTAGATCTGTGGGAACTGCAAAGGTTTAAGCATAACAAATCCTTAGGAAAAAATGTAAACCATACAAATTTAAGGTACATATGAGTTTTTATCCATGTGGCCCTCCCAGATTTCAAGAACTATAATAAATGTTGTTATTCTTTTAGAAAGAAAATGTTCAACATTTTAACTAGGTTTGTTAAAACTATACATTCCACTACTACCCCACCCCCCAAAAAAATCCCCTTAAATGTCTGCAGACTACCTTACCATAACTCCAAATTTCAATCAACAAAGCATTCTTTCAACATACAATCAATCATGGTATATCTTAAGAGATCAAGGTCACAAAAATAAGTTGTCTGCCTGCAATTATACTGTAACTCTAAAAAAGTTCTTACTTTCCAGATCACATCTTTTGCAATGAAAATCTAGAATCTTTATTTTTTCTCCCTAAAATTGTAGGGATCTTGTCTCAATAGACTCATCTACATGAAAGATGCTAAAGATTCTTACTTGATATACAGTACTTTAAGTTCCATACATAGATCCTCCCAGCTGAGAAGGCAGCCCACACAGGATTAGGAAGTGCTTTAATCTGAAAATGACAGTCAGAATACAAATCAGATCTGAACTTCAGATCATTATGATGGAAAGATGAGTGGAGACAAAGTTAAATTACTTTGCAGAAGAAGCAAGACATCCCCCCTCAACAGTTCATCCCAGGCACTATATATACATAATTCAATCATTTTCCTGATACCTGCCTTCAAAGATAGGTTATATTATACATTTGTGTCTTTATGACTCCTAGGCTGCTCAAAAGAACAATTCTTGAGGAAAAAGCAGAAAGGGTTGAGAATTAGGGACCTTCCTCATCACTACTGAAAGTAGCCTTTCCACTGTCCCTTTCTTAGATGACATAAAGCATACAAAAATACTATTGAAAATCAAACAATAATTACAAAAAGCCATCTGAGAAACATAACATTTTAATAGATGAAATAAATACTCCAGTACATGCAAGGTAAAAACTTGACACTGGGGGAAAAAAATCACTCTATGGTGTAAATTAAAAAATAAAACACGCTCACAGTAGCTTTCCCCCCATTTGCAAATCACATGGCAAAGTCATACTCTTTCCACACCAAGTATACTCCTAATTCAACACAATTGCTTAAAAAAATAACATACAAAAAAAAAAAGGTAGCTACATCCATGTCTAAAGAGTGAAACTGAGGTAACCTTTCTTTTAATTAAAATAAAAAAGAAGAAATGAACCCATGACCTCCTTCCTGCCCAATTAATAAAATTCAGTTGACGGACAGGGGTGGGGTGTAGGGGTAAAACCACAATCAGCAGATTACCCATTTTCTGCTCCCCACTCCTGTATGGGCTGCTTGACACCTGGGTTCTTCGGTGCATGTGAGTTGTGTGCATGGCCCTGACTTCTGGAAGATTCCTCTTGGGCAATTAACATGGTGGGGGGGGGGGCGGGGTGTTTCACCTATGATTTCTTTGGTATAAATGGAGAGGGGCAGAGAATAAGTGTCTTCCTTTAGGCTGGGGTAGAAGAAAGGGCATGGGGTGGAGGGGGGTGTTGCTAATTCACAGAATTGGAATTTACTGGCGGTAAAGTCCTGGGTGAAGACCTCTCTCTTAAAGCCTGAGATAGCAGGGTGCAGCCTTCAGACACGGCGCAGGCCGAGTTCCTCAGCCTCTCCCTGTGGTCCGACATCTTGGCGCCCCCATCGGGGTGCTGCGCCAGATCCCTGAGGCACTGGGTCAGAAGCACGCAGGCTGACACCACGCTCATGGCACCACCCAGGATGGCGGTCTGCACCGCCTTGCCCTCTGCGCTCACAGCGGCCGCGCGACCCAGGAACTGCGGCTCGGTGGCGAAGCCCACCAGTGCGCTCACAGCCTGCACCAGGGGCCCACTGAAGAGCGCGCAGCGGCTGCGCGCCAGTTCACTGGGTGCCACCTTCACCTCCCTTACGCAGGCCAGCAGCGCCGATGCACTGGTGCTCATGCACTTGACGCCCAGCTTGAACTGCTCGCGTGAAAAGCGGTCCCGTGATTTGTCACTGGCTAGGGCGCATGCGTCCGTCAGGAATTTGAGGTTTCGCGACAGGCCCTGTGACACCTCCAGCAGCAGCTGCGGGGTCATATCGGCCAGTGGGGTGGCTCTTAGCACCGCGCAGCCCTGCTCCACCTCGTGGCGACAGCGTGTCACGCGGTAGCGATCCACTAGGCCCGGCTGAGCAGGCTGTGCGCCTGGGGTGGCCACCGCAGCCAGATAGGCAGCGTGGGCTGAGCACTCGGTCAGCGACACCACCAGGTCGCCCAGCTCCACTAGACTGTCCCCAGCCTCTCCAAATCGGCCCATGTTAAGCTGGCTTTGCACATCATGGGTGAGAATGGAAAGCCCCTTGGTGCGCGCAATGATGGTGTCCCGGCACTGCTCAAAGGACTCCGCACCAGCACAAGAGGAGGCGGGGCCCTCGAAGAGCACTGGCCGGGCCTCGCTGGACAGTAGTAGCAGGTCGGCCACCAGCTGCATCTTGCCTTTGCAGTGGTCGCAGACCGACACCAGCCTCTTCCGTGGCTGCGAGCTGGCCGCACCGACGGCGCTCACAGGAGCCGGAGAAGCCGCCTCGCCAGTGGGCTTCCCAGCGCTGCCGCTAGCCATCGCGCCCAGGGGGCACTGGCATGCCGCTGGGGAGCCCGCTACCACCGCCGCTGCCGCCGCCCCCGCGACTCAGCTGGCCAAGGCCGCGGTGCCTTCCCCGCACCATCATGCCATCCACCGCCGCGGGTAGAGGGCACTGGGCTACGGCGGCCGGAGCCCGGGCAGCGTAGGGTGAGCCCGAGGGCCAGAGAACACCGGAGGCTCTTCGGGGCGTGAGGAGAGGCTGCAGCGTTCGGCCTCCTAGAAGGCTTGCAGGAAGCATGAACCGCGGCAGAATAAACTCACAGTCCGCGCTCCTCGCCGCGGTGCTGCCAGGAAAGTCCCTTCTGCTGAGCCGTCGCAGCCTTCCTGGGCATGGCCTGGCCCGGCCGCCCCAGAGCGGAGAGGGCGGGACAGGGAAGCTGGGAGTTGTCCTTCCTTCCTTCCTTTCTTTGAAATCAAAATCCTTTCCTCGGGGAGGAACACGGGCAGCGGCTCCGGCGGGCTGTGCTGTCAACCACAGGCCACCTTGGGTTCGGCGGCGCACGTGGGCTTCAGGCGCGGTGACCCCGCCAGGCGGCACTTCTCTGCGACGGCTGCCCGGACTGGCACTCTGGAACGCACAGCTGCCCCAGGCACATCTCCTACCTCGCGCTCTCAGGAAGCGGCGCCGGCGGCGGCTGCAGGGCCGAGGGTGTGGCCGCGCTGTCGCGGCCGCGCCGAGTCAGAGCCGGGTGGGAGCCTGCACTGATTGCGCACAGCGGCCGCCCCACTCGTGCTCTCGCCCGCCACGCCCGGGTGCGCGGGGCTCCGCGGCGGCCCTTCCCGCCCGGCGGCTCACAGCGTGCGGCCCGAAGCCGCGGCGGCACGCCCTCCCGGACCGCGCGCCCGGCGGCCCGCTGCTGGCTGTCGGCGCGAATCCATCTCCGGCGCGCCCTCGTCCTGGGCCCGCAGCGGCTGAGCTCTCCGGAGGCCCCGAGCCCCGCGCATCGGATGCAGATGCAAGCGTCTACACGGCTGATGAGCCGACTCAGAAGGTCCCCTTAGCGCCGTGGCCACCAGCCGGGGCCCCGGCTCCTGCCATTTCCGTCAACCACCAACTTCCGAGCGAGCAGGGAGAAACTGAAAGGAAGGGCGGGGGCCGAAAGGCGAGGGGAAAACACCCGCTTCCTCTCTGCGCGCAGCTTAGCCTTGGAGCACGGCCGTGGGTGCTCGCCCGCCGGGGCCGCCGGAGGCTTCCCCTCTGCCCGGCCGCGCCTCGCCCCCGGCTCGCCGCCGCCGCACCTCGCCGTAACCTCCCCGGAGCCTATAGAAATCTTTTGTGTGGCGTCACCGCCTTTCGTTTAAATCCCGCTTCCTCCTCTCGCCTTTTCTCCCGCCCCCTCCGCCGCTCCCGGATGCTTGCGCGATGCGCTGCTCCTCCCCCGGGAAGCTGGGTGGCTGCGGGGTACGCCGCCGCCCAGCACTCAGCTGCCTGCCTGAAGCTGGTGGTCCTGGGCCGCCCCTGCGTTCCGGCGGAAAGATTGGGTAGCAGACGGGCTGGGGAAAGGCAGCCCGGCCAGGGGCTCTGCACACACCCTCTGGAGATCGGGGTGTAGCAGCCGGTTGGCCTTACGTAAGCTCTTAGCCAGACCCGGGCCCCAGGCTTCTCTCCGCCAAGGAAGCGAGTCTTAAAAAGGTGACTTGTTTTCGGGGTTAGAGGGAAGGCCAATCGGTATGATTCCCTGGTGATTTACTGGAGCCCAGACATCTCGGTTTGTGGGACTTCGATTGGATTTTCCAAGCTTTCCTTCTGCCCTTTGTTGTGTTTGATCTCTTCCACAGTGGGTTTCTGATGGGCTGTGAGAGTGATGAAAAGAAAAGAGCACTGGATATAGAGTCCCAACAGGAGGGCGGGGGATTGTGCAGATGCTCGCACTTAAAATCTCCAGCTAAGCATACTTTAAGTAGTCAGCAGGCTTTGAACTCAACTTCCAGGCTCAGTTTTTTCCCAGTCATTTATGAGTTCTGTGACCTAAGTTCTCTTTCCAAGTATCTATTTTCTCTATGTCAGATACTGGGCACTGACTGCTTGAGCACTCACCTCATGAATAGTAGCTGTTAGAATTATTATGGACCTTGATCAGCATACTTTGGCCCTTCATAGCTTTGTCGATATAGTGGAATAATAATGGCCATTGTTAAATAAGAAAGACAGCCTTTAGAGGTAAACATTATTTTACAGTTAGGGAAACCGATGGTCAGGTGCCTTAAGTAAGTGACTTCTTAGGTGAGGAAGACAGCAATTGACTGGGTGAGGAACCCTCCCGCCCCTCTCCTGACTTACTGCACCTTGTTCTGCAGGAAGTGGTTGGAACACCTGGCCTTTCTCCCAGAGAATGGCCCATCAGTTCAGTAGTCCTGAATCTGGCCTTCTGGGTACTCTCCCAGCACACACTGGGTATGAAAACCAATGGAAATGTTTGTTGCTCTATTCTTTTCTAGGACTCCAGGTCACCGCATCCGCCCCTCCCCCCCCCCCCCCCCAGCTTGTTACTTGTAACTAGAATGGACTTAGATTTAAATTTATCGTCCAAGCCCAAACAGTCTGAAGAGTAACTGTTGAGACATATTATTAATAAGTTAACAGAAGCAACAGGTTCAGACTTGGTTGGACAGTGCCCTACTTACAGCTGAAAGTGGCCTTGGAGAATATTGGAGAACTGAACTTGATAAAACTGATAACTTTCTAAACAAAGAGCAGTTTTATAGAGTCAATCCTTCTACTTTTGTACAAGGGAAAAATGTTTGGACAAATGCTTAACATGGTAACCCAGGAACAGCAAAAATAGCTCTAAAAACCTATGCCAGAGAAGTCAAACCATTTTCCCTTTCATGAAACTGCTCTGAAATCAAATTTTTTCCCAAAACCAATTGGCATTCCTGGAGTCCCATTTCCCTTTTCTTCTACAGTGCAGTCTGTTTTTCTTATTATCACTGGATGCTTCATACGCAACAATGAGCTGTGCTACTTGAGGACTGTACCACTATTCCACAAGGTTTGATTTAGCTTTTAAAATTGATGGGATTGTTTTCTTGGCCCTCCTTGCTTAGTTTCTCAGATAAGGCAGCTAGCTCCTAAGCTGATCCTTCTAGGTACTGCTTTCACTTTCTTTTAGGTTCTTTATTTTCTGCCATCATTCATTCACTCCACAAACAATGAACACCTGCTACATGCTGGGCTCTGTACTAGGCATCAAAAGTTACAAAGTAAGTAATATGAAGCTTCTACCTGTTAAGAGTGGAGTCCAGAAAAGGGAGCAAGTAATCCCAATTTTACTTTTTGGATGGTGAGAACACAGTAAAGAAACTATAGCAGAGATGGTAGGGCTTACTAAACATTTCAGTTGCTGCTAGGCAGGTCACACTGTTCTTATAAATGCAGTGGAAGTGGAATGTGTGCTCTACTTCCAGGCTGAGGTAATAGAAAGCCAGTCTGAAGTAACTATTGAGGAGTCTGTTCTGGTTGGTGGGACCTCCACAAACCTAGGTGACTACACAGAGTAGACCCTGTCCAGAGCTGTACTGGACATGTAATATGAGTACAAAGTAAACTTCTGTTGTGTGAAGCCACTGTGATTTGAGGTTTGTTGCTGTAGAATATTTGAGTCTAATTGAATGAATTAGAGGGCTGTTTGTGTCTATTTCACCTGTTACTCCTTCTAACTCTCTATTTGTTTTTGGTACCAGGGATTGAACCAGGGGTTCTTCACCATTGAGCCACATCCCTAGCCCCAACTCCCTATTTTTCATTTTGAGACAGAGTCTCACCAAGTTGCTCAGGGCCTTGCTAAATTGCTGACACTGGTCTTGAACTGGCGATCCTCCTGCCTCAGTTTCCTAAGTGTCTGGGATTATAGGTGTGTGCCACAGCACCCAGCCTAACTCTCTTTTTAAATTAAATATGAACCAAAGGTACTCTGCAAAGTATATGATATGATATGAACCCCCCCCAAATAAATATGTTGAAATTTAATCACTAAGTGATAGTGTAAGAGATGGGGCCTTTATGAGGTGAGTAATTTAAAAAGGTAGAATTCTCCTGAATGGGATTTGTGCCCTTATAAAAGAGGATTGAGGGACACCCTTCCTTTTGCCCTTCTTCCTTGTGAGGACACAGCAACAAAGCACCATCTATGAAGAATGGGTTATCACCAGGTACTAAATCAGGTTGTCCCTTGATCTTAGATTTCCTAGCATCCTGCCCTGTGAGAAACAGTTCTGTTGTTTATAAATTATACCACCTAATGTGTTTTTTTTATAGCAGCATGAACAAACAAGATATATTTTTCACTAAAATGGATGTCAATTGAGAGAAGAAAGCTGAAAATGTGTGAAATGAGTGTTCACTGGGGTAAAGTAAATGGAGCAGACAGGAGGGAGCTGGGACTGTGCAGAGAGTGGTTTGGTTTCTAGAATGTATTCTCAGTACTGGATCAAGACCCATGCTTAGTAGACATTAGTGAATGAAAAAGATGCAAAGAAAGAACTAGTTGAAGATTTGGGCACGAGAGTAGAAATGACAGAGATTGGAACAGGCAGGATTGGAGCAACATCCTTTACCTCCTCCTCTTACCTGTTTTAGAGGGAGCATTGGTTATCTGGAGTTCCTGCAGGTATAAGAGAACAGTATGGGCAGGCATTCTGGGGTTTTGTTTTGTTTTGTGGTACAGGGGATTGAATCCAAGGGTACTGAACCACTGAGCTTCATCTCCAGCTCTTTTTTTGAGACAGGTTCTCACTAAGTTGCTAAGTTTCTTTCTAAGGCTGGATTTGTACTCACAATCCTCCTACCTCAGTCTCTCTAGTCATTGGGATTGCAAGTATGTGCCATTGCACGCAAGTACCTTATTGCATAATGATCACCATCATCCACCTTCAGAAGTTTTTCATCTTCCCAGAGTCACACTCTGTATCCATTAAACAATATTTTCTCATCCTTCTCTCCCGCAGTCCCTAGCAATCCCCATTCAACTTCCTGTCTCCTGGAATATGACTATTTTAGATACCTTTTGTAAGTAAGGTAAGATACCTTTTATGTCTGACTTATTTCATTTAGCATGTCTTCAAGATTCATCGATGTGGTAGCATGTATCAGAATTTCCTTTCTTTTCACAGCTGAATAATATTCCATGGTATGCATTCTGGATTTTGATACCCAATATTCCCACTTCATCTAAGACTCTATGTACCAACACAGCTGCATATGATGTACAGTGCCATCTGGTGGTTGGTAGGGAGCAATCTCTGCCTTAATGTACCTTTCCTTTGGAACAGTGCCCCCTGTTTTGTTTGTGCTCATAGATGGGCCAGTTTAGTTTCAAGTAATCTTTCTACACTTATCCAAGCATCGCTCATTATCTTCCTTTCAATATTTCTTCTAAAGGATAGGAATTTCTATCTGAAGGATGTATTCCTATCCCTCTTTTTCCTATTTCAGACATCCTCAGGGATGATGGATGTGAGCTCCTGGGTCCCTAAGGAGCAGAATCATTATGTTAACAGGTCACTGTCCTTACCTGACACAGCGTCTTGCTCTGTGGCCTATTTTGTTCCTATCCAATAAGAACACCTGGGCAGGACCTCACCCATCAGTCTCATGTTCTTCCCTCCTTCGTTTTTCCCTCCCTTCTTTCCTGCCACATCTTAGTTCATCAGAAGATAGATGTGTGAGGGAGGCTTATATGTAGGACCAGTTTGCTTTGGCAGAAACACCTTAGCATTCAGATCCCAAGATTCTGGCAGATGCATCTGGATCAGACTCAGATGGGGCCAGCGTCTGAACCAGGTCTCAGGCAGTGCAATACACGGCTAGGAAAGAGAGTTCTGAAATGTAAGAGGTCATGGCCTAAATAAAGCACAGCATCCTAACTGGAGGTGAAGGTTGCCAGTGATCTTCAGATGTATTTTCCATCCTTCATGGTCTTGGAGAAGAGAAGTACTAAGATTCAGGCACCCTCAACCCCCAACACTAATCATGACTGACCATGTTTCAATATGTCTCATGGTGTCGGGTACAGAATCTCTCAGGGTGCTTTGTGGTCAGTAACTACAGATTGACTAGATTCTGTGGAGCCTCTGGTTCCTCAGACACACTCAGAACTTCTGCCCCTTTGGGCCATTGTGCTATCTGCACAGCTTCAGTGGGACTATTGGCAGTCTGTATTTGTAACTGTTGGCACACCTCTTTTCTCCGAAACTCTTTCATCGAGTTAAGGACCTGATATATTTATCTCTCCCACACCTAATGCATTACATGGTCATCAATAAACTTTTATAGAATTCATTCATTTATTAAACCTCCTGGCAAGAAAAGTGTTCTTTTCTTTGAACTAATATCTGGCTGCCCTCAACTTTTATTTCAGTAATGGTCAGAAAGTGTCGGACATTTATGAAACAACAGCAGGGCAACAGCTCGTGCATGGTGGTGACCTCAAATGCCACTGTCATCATCCTTACCTCAGCCCCACTCCCAGGCCCCTCCTACACCTTCCCATGCTTCAGTCCACTAAAGAATTAATAATTGGTACAAGAGCCCTACCCGCAGATCATAGGCTTCTGTTAATTGGTAATTGTGCCTCTAGTTTTTCAATATTTTGAAAGTCATCCTTGACTGATTTCAGATAGTACTAGAAATTCTTATTTCCTCTCCTCTGTTGTGATGGACACAGCCAGGATGAGCTCAGATTAGGACACTAATTAGATCCAAGATTCAGTTTTGCCATCCACAGTTTCTGCACCTTTTAGAGGTAGGGTTAGTATTAACCCCAGAGTAGAAGAGGCCTGTGCTTTATTTAGGCCACGACCACATGATCTCTTACACTTCAGAACTCTCTCTCCAGCCCTGTACTGCAGAGCCTCAGAGCAGGTTCAGACTCCAGCCCCACCTGAGAGCTCTGGCTCCAGACTCTTTTCAATCCATTTTCCATATGGCTCCCAGTGACTGTGCCGATTGCCTCACTGATTAACCCAGATGGTGCTACTGGAAGAAAGACAGCGAAGAAAAACCTCATTGTCCCATATACCTGGGCTCTAATTTTTGCCCTGCAGCTGTATTATCTATGTGACCTCAGATAAATTATGTAATTCAAAAAAATCAGAATTTCCTCTTATTTAAAATAGGGATATTATTATGGTCATCACATCATTCCTTCATGCCCTGACCGCCTGTAATCTACATTGGATTTACTACAGGTTGTTCATCTCTACCACTCCAAAACCTCCAAGAAAAACAAACAAAATAATTAATTAAATTTAATGTTTAAAACAATCCTTCAAAAGCAAGGGCCTTATTGTATTCATTTTTGCCTCAGTGCCTCACCTGATTCTTGTTAACAGTAGGTTGTTAGTAAATAAATTCCTCCAGGCTTGAATCAAATCAAGTTTCAAAACACCAAAATATATTTAAAATATCAAAGCATTGAAAATGCAGTTGATCCAGATATTTTCACATCAGTAGATTATAAGCCAAATGGATTTCCTGCTTGGATGAAAGTAGCCCTAAAGTTTACCCAATCCCAACAATTTCTGTCACTCACTCAATGGCTTTTGTTCTCTATAACCAGATACTGTGGGCCAAGAATCCCAGCACTTTTGCACCTTAACTTGACAGCAGGCAAAATGAATGACCAGGGTGACCCCTCCCAACAGAGCACATGATCCGCCACAGCTGTGCATGTTTTCTAGCATGACTGCACCGGGACACAGCTCCAAGCCACCGGGTGGAGCAATGTGCCCCAGGGAGAAAGCTTTGACTTTTCCCCCATGATTTCAGAAAAGAAAAGAGAAAAGCCTCTTTTACTTATGAGTTGTTTCTGCTTAATGTCAATAGGGAATGTTATCATATTTACATATGTACATGCATGAATGTATAGAATATCCACCCAGTGCTCCACGCATGTGAGGCAAGTGCTCTACCACTGAGCCACAACCCCAACCCCCAGAATCTTAATTTTATTACACTGAAAATGTACATAGCTAGAAGACAATTTCCTGGCCTCTCTGGGAGAGATAGGTTTTAGCCAGTGAGATCAGAAGTATTGGGAGCAAGATCCAAACAGGATGCCTCAAAAAAATTGACCCTATTGAAAGGTATGCTCTGTTTGACTTGCCGTCCTTCTTCCTTCCTCTGGATGAATGTAATCTTGATGGCTAGAGCTCCAGTAACCATCCTGGAACTTGTGGTGACCTTGAGGATGGAAGCCACAGGGCCAGTGTAATGGAGCAGATTGAGAAAGAAGGCTGGGTGCCACATGACTTAAGTTACCACCATACCAGCCTGAGATGCTTGGTTTCTACCTGCTTCTCTTTCAGAGAAAGAGAAGCATGTACAGTGAAGCACACCTGTAATCCCACTTGGAAGGCCGAGGCAAGAGAATCTTAAGTTTGAGGCCAGCCTCAGCAGCTTTATGAAAGAAACTGTCTCAGAATAAAAAATTTTTAGGACTAGTTTAGCCCATAGCCAGCACAGGCTTCATAAATGAAGGTTCAGCTATGTGAGAAATCCTAAGGGAGTTTGAATTAAAAAGTCAGGCACTAATTACCTTTAAACCAGCTCCAGGATGGCTACTCCTACCTCCAGCCTCAAGCTACCTATTAGAGTAGCAAGGTTTACTGAAGAGGAGAGAGAGAGAGAGAGAGAGAGAGAGAGAGAGAGAGAGAGAGAGAGGGGGAGGGAGGGAGGGAGGGAGGGAGAGAGAGAGAAGGGGAGGGGAGGGGAGGGGAGGGGAGGGGAGGGGAGGGGAGGGAGGAGGGGGAACGAATGAGAACACACCAGGCAGTGGACTTTTATTGGGGAACAAAAAAATTTGGGGAAAATCCCATCCAATGAAGATTAAGGGGGGCAGTGTCCCAAGGTCAGGTACAACGACTGGATCTTGGGGTAGTGGCCAGACACGCCTCCACACGGACAAGCCCTCGGACCTGAGAAGGGTGGGGAAAGCTCTGGACACAAGGATGTGTCTAAGGCCTCTCGCCCAGCCAGGGAGGTAACTCAAATCACGTGGGAGGATGGCCTCCCACAGACTGGGGCTATGGTTGTAGTTCAGTGGTAGAGCACTTGTCTGGCACATGTGAGATACTGGGTTCAATCCTCAGCACCACATAAACATAAATAAATAAAAAATAAAGGTATTGTGCCCATCTACAACTAAAAATAATAATAAATAAAAAGGACTGGGGATATAGCTCAGTTGTAGAATACTCTTGAATTTACCACTCCCCCCCCCAGTACAGAAAGAATTACAACAAAGCCTTTTATCTTATCTAAATGTTTTTTTAAAAAAATTAGTTATATGTATCCTTTATTTTTAGCCATACAAAGCATGAAGAAAAGACTATTGCCACTTTTTTAAAAAAATGGTGTTGTAATAGCAAAAAAGAAGATAATAAATGCCCATGATTAGGAAATAAACTATTGCTATAACAATGCTGAAGAATACTATGCAGGCATCTAAAGAATCAAATTTCTTCATGTCATAATTTTAGGTGGAAAACACTTGAGCCCAATATGCTTAAAAATTCATACACTATGCTGCCATAAACACATATAAATGCAACAAAATGCTGGAGATACTTGATATTTGTATTAGAAAAAATGTATTATGTGGCAAAAGATAATTGGTTGGTGTGCAGTAGAATCGTGGGGTCCGTATTTAAACTTTGTATAAAGTTCGATTTTTTTTTTTTTTTTTTTTTGGTGGTGGTGGTGAAGATGGAATGGACAGGCAAACCTTTATCACTGAGCTATATTCCCAGTCTAATTTCTCAACATTAAACAACTACACTACTTTCATATATTCTTGTGTAATTAATATTTTAAAAGAAATCCATAATAAGCAATTTAAAACTTGCGGAATTTTAAAGTATCTCTGACCAAAATCTCTTAAAAGAAAGAAATAAAAATGAGCACAATTCAGCCTTAAAATATATTAGAGTCACAGTATTAAGCTGAATCAGAAGACAAACTGGACTATTTTAAACAAATGAAAATTAATGATTAAAAAGCCTTTTTCGAGCTTAGGAGATGATAGTAATATTGAAAGCTGGTTGTACTGAATCATCTAAAATGAGCAACAGAGCAATGACCCTATTTATGACCCGCTGAAAAAAGTTGGCCTAACTTCTCCACTAACTTAACTGGCTGTCAGAGGAAATCTCAGGAGACTGAGGGTAACCGGCTGACACCCCAAGATGGGCTTTACTAGAGCCTGGGGCAAGCTCCCAGAACTTCCAGCTCCAACTTACTTCACAGGCGAAAACTGAGGGCCTTCTGGAAGCTGGAAGCTCTATGGCAGTTCCTAGAGGCCCTGAGGGAACTTTTTGGCTCTCTGACGGAAAATAAAAAAGCCCAGCCAGGGTGCGACCCTCAGGCCGATCAAGGGGAGGAGGAGCTGGGGGCGGGACCGCCGTTTCTGGGCGGGGCTTCCGGAGGTGGGGCTGTAGGAATTGGGACGGGGCGGGGCGCGGTAGGCTAGTAAGGGCCTTGAGGCGGAGCCACGGAGGCGTACGTTCTCGGGGGCGGGGCCTGGGCCTGAGGCGAGTGCGGGACGGCCCCAGCTCAGCGTACGCCAGGGGCGGGGCCAGGACACCAGGACCCTGAAGAGGTCGGGACCTGGCGCCTGGGAGGGTCTGCGGGCGGAGCCGGTGCGGGGGCGTGGTCATGCGGGTGACGAGATAGGGCGCGGGCGGGAGGTGCGGCGCGGCGCTGCGCTCCGCTGCGCGGCCAAGATGGCGTCCTCCGGTTTATGGCGTGCGGCCTTGTGGCTGCTCTGCGTCTCTGATCTGCTACTGTTGCTGCTGCTTCCTCCTCCGGGATCCTGCGCCGCCGAGAGCCGGGCCGGTACGCCCGGCGATGCTGCTCCTCCTCCGCGGAAGAAGAAGGACATTCGAGATTACAACGATGCGGACATGGCGCGTCTTCTGGAGCAGTGGGAGGTCCGCGGCGTGCACAGCCCGGTTCTTTTCGGTTCCGGGTCTGCTCCCATCCACCTACCCTGTCTTCCCCGCCTGCCCCGTCTCGGCTTCCTCTGACCCCTACTTCTCCTGCGCCACGAGTCCTTGCTGACGCATTCATGCCACCCTGACCCCCTTAGCCTCTCTTCCTCGCGGCTTGCGACCCCCGCCCCAGGCCTCTTGTCCCGAAGACCTCACCACTTGGTCACAGTCCCTCAGTACTTAGCCCTACTTTTCCCTTCTCTGCCCTAGTGGCCTCTGCGTTGGTGCTGTGGTCAGTGAGCTCCGCTAATGGGGAGACTCTTTTTCACTGTACCCCTGAAGAATATTTCCTCCATCCTCCACTGTTCAGGGTGAGCGGGTGGGATTAAGGGGCTTATGGAGATGGATATTTTCAATCAGGCTATTTCAGCTCTGATAGTTATTCTGTCTTCTAAGTCAGTAGAATTTCTGACTGCCCATTTGGGGAATTTTGTAATTTTGTGGGATTTATTTTATTGGTGGTGGTGGGGGGGGGGAAGTAGCAAAAGCCAATGGCTCGCAAACGTGGAACTCATCTTTGTTTAAAGGAGCAAAGACTGGTTTCTTGAGAGTAAGTTTATTTGTTACTTGGATGCACTGGACTGTGCAGTTACACGGAGTGTGAATAAGCGCGCAGGGTGACAAAAAAAAATTCGCTTTTTTTCGTTTCCAAAAGTGGTTGTATTACCCTACTCGATTTTCAGAGCTGGGAGAGTGAAGTCGAAAACTTGGGTTATGTTCTAAGTGTAATCTTGGGCAGGTCAAGTCTCCTTTCTGGGCCGCAGTTTCCTTCATTGCAAAATGAGGAGGTTTTACTGAAGGCTCCTAAGATTCTTTGTAAAGGTAATGTGTTGTGGGGAGAGGGTGATTACTTTCAGACATGAGTTTAAAACACCACCTGATGTATTTGACTGGAAGAAAGCAGCCTTTTGTTTTTATATTTGTAGCTGATGGAAAGATTGGGGTAGACTTCAGTGTGTCATACCCTGATGAAAAGGAAATTTTCTCTTCTCCTTTCCCTTGCAATCTTCCTGTCTCTTTTGGATTCTAACAGATAAAGCCTTTTGAACTGCCAAAGTGAGAACATCATCTCATGAGAAATCCTGCTCTGGAAGTATGCAGATTCTGAGCTAGATGTGGAGGTGCTGCAGAGATGAGCAAAGAACCCATCAGGAACAGTAGATAACAAATATAACCACAATGTAAATATGACTGAATGCTATAAAAAGAAAGTGCTGCACTAATTTAGAGGTCCTCATGGAGGAAATGGTATTTTAGATAGGCCTAGGAAATTGTGGGGGCGATCTCATTTTAGGCAGGCTAAGGAAAGTGTGGGAGAAGGTCATTTCCAACAGCAACAGGAGCTGAAGATGAGATGTAGGAATTAGGCAAAATCATGTAAAGAAAAACAGCCTAAGCTCTGGAGTTAGACTGCTTGCGTGGGTTTATTCCACTTGTGAATTTGGAATTATACAGACCCTCTCAATATTAGCTATACTAGTTAACTTGGGTTAGTTAGAGCAGACCATATCTAAAGCAAAGTATTAAGTGGTAAGGGCAGAAAGGTAAGTAGGAATTGGTAGGAAGCAGGCCATAAAAGGTCTCAATGCTACAGGGTTTGTATTTTATTTAGAAGAAAATATGTGGATCTAATGAGTATGAAAAGTTGTATTACTCAAATGTTAAAATATTGGAATGTTTATGGTACATGCCTATAATCCCAGCAGCTCTGGAGGCTGAGGCAGAGTTCAAAGCCAGCCTCAGTAAAAGTGAGGCACTAAGTAACTCAGTGAGACCCTGTCTCTAAATAAAATGCAGAATAGGGCTGGGGATTTGGCTTAGTGGTTGAGTGCCCCTGAGTTCAATCCCTGGTACTCCCCGCCCCCCCAAAAAAATAAAATAAAATATTGGGATGTTTATACTTAATCATCCATGACATGTTAATTCTTGAGGGTCCTACAATACACACATATAATTTTTAACTGAATCATAAGGTAGATTTTTTTGCTCTTCATTTTTATCAAAATTTTTTAATGTGGTGTTGAGGATTGAACCCAGTTCAGGCATGTGAGGGTATTGCCCTACCACTGAGCCACAACCCCAGCCCATTGCTTTTCATTTTTTGCTATGATACCTAATAAGCATTTGCCCAAGTTACTGCATTGCCTTAGTTGTACTCTTAGGCACTTTTGGAATATACCCTGGAGTGAATGTTCTAGCTGTTGAAGATTTTTGAAGTGTCATCATCAGGGCTAAACTTTAGAAATAGTTTTAGAAAATATGAAGGCTGATACAAACACTTCATCTCATTTAATTCTCTTACCACATTTATGAGAAAGTATTTTTATTTTCTGGGTAATAACATTGAGATACCTAGAAGTTAATTAATTTGCCCAAGACCACACAGCAAGCTGTCCGATTTTTAAACTTGTCACTGGACTTGAAAGCTGGTTCAATGAACCATTTTACTGTACTGCCATACACATTGGTGAACAGAAGTGTAAATGGAAGACAATGAAGAAGACCTGAATTAAACTAGAAACTGCAGGAATGGCATAGAAGGAGGCAGCATGTGGGAGATTTTATGCTTGTAATAGGAGTCTGTTGACTGTGATCTCTGGAAGGTAACAGTTCAGTGTTAGTAAAATGACAGGTTTTGAACTCAGCTTTACTGGTGGTAGCTTTGTAACCGTCATTTGCCATCTTTGTAAAGCCAGACAATGTCCTACTTTGCAGAGTGTAATGATGATTAAATGAGCTAATGTATGTAGACCCTACAAATGTGAGTGCCCTTTCCCAGTGGCAGTTATTTTTCTGTGGAAGAGCATATCCATCTCTGGGTGCTTTTTTGTAGAAAGTGATTCATCCATCCCCAAGTGGTGATGGATGAGTTTTAAGGAGGCTGTAAATCTGTACCCTCACTTCTTTCCCACTCATGTGAGAATCTGTTTCAGTGAGGCTTGTGCCTCAGGTATGTGGGGAAAAGGTGAGAACCCTTTCCGTTGTGTTAGAATTAATGATGAGTCCCAATTGATATAGAAAAAATAATTATGGTTATTTCATCTTATGTTCAGATAAATAGAGGTGTATGGTGAGATTTGAGCCAGAATTGTGGATTTGCACTTCAGGTTGTCTCATCTGGTGTGTAATTGTTTATCCTCTTCCTTCTACTACATTCAGCAGAAAACTTTTAGATTGTTCCCAAGGTTGGAGATAATATATGTTAAAGTACCTGAAACATAGTAGCTATTCTGGACATGGTAGTTTTTGTTTTCAGGAACATGAGAGGAAGAAAAGGATTTGCAGAGTTCAGCTTTGTAGCTATTGGCTTTGACAAACAGCAATGGAACATTGGTGAGGCCAGTTGAAAATGACAGATGGCCTGGAGGCAAGATGGGGACTGTGGTCAGGGGAGTGCCTAACTTGGTCTGTAGGTCTCAGCCCTGCCTGTGGGTAAGGGTTGGATTGCTTTTAGCATAGAGAAAGCAATGAGATCAGATGACCCCAAGATAAACTGGGAGTGCATCAACCGGAAAGGAACTGGACAGTTGCCTGTATCTAAGATGCTGTTTCTCAATGTTTTTGTTTTTTTTTTCTATAACCAAAACACAAAATTAATTTTTTTAAATTAAAATTTCTTGAAGCAATCCTTACCCATACCATATCCTCTAGATTTATGATTAATTAATTATATTTTCATTAACAGTGAAATGCTGCTTGTGACCAGCTGAGTTAGTTAAAAATACAAATATTGTAGGATCTTGAATCAACTTGAAGTCTAGGGGAGTTTTAAGGAGGCTGTAAAAGATGTTATGAAAAGAGGACAGAATGAAGACTGAAACAGCCTGGGGTTTTGGCAACAAGGAACTCTCTGATTTTGAAAGTGTGATTTCCATAGGGTGACTGCTTGAAGGGCACATTACCAGGGCACTAATGAGCAGTGTAATAGCAGCCTGTACTGGTTGCATTTGTCATTAAATCCCCCAAACAAACCTCAGGATGTTATTACCACCCACTTTCCCTTACAGGTGAGGAAAGTTATTTTCTTATGGGCTAAGCAGTATGCCCAAGGCCACACAGCTTAAGTGCTGGAGCAGGAAGCTGAACACAGACCCCTCTGACAGCATGGCCTATGCTTCTGTCTTCAGATCACCGTCAGTGACACCATCAAAGCAAAATAAGGAAGAAAGGATTAGTCCAGAGGGTGGCATAGTTGAGAAGATTGGGGTACTGTGTGTGCTCACACTGCTAAGGATCATAAGTTGTCTGGTTCTGCTTTTCCTTTTATTGATAAGGAAATAGGCCTAGAAGGATAGGTAACCTCACCCCGGGTCACACAACTGACTGTGTGGAGCTGAACCAAGATCCCAGATCTGATGTAGCTCACCTTTAAGTACTGGAATTCTTTCATTCTCACTTATTACTAAAATGTTACAGTAATACATTGTGAGCCATCTTCTTCAGCCTTGATCCCTCAGAGAGTTGTTCAGAGGACCAAGTAAGAGTGATAAGGGCTTTTGTTTCATGTTAGGTTGGATTTTTAGGTAACCACTAAAAATTATTGAGATGCAATTCACAGGCATACACACCTCACCATTTCATTGGTTTTATTATATTCAGAGATGTACAATTATCCCCACAGTCAATTTTAGAACATTTTCCTTCCCTCAAAAAGGAAAGCCTCAGTCACTCCTCTCTGGTTTTCTCCCAGTCCTCCAGGTTCTCAGCCACCCCTAGGCAATCACTAACTAATCTTTCTGTTCTAGACATTTCCTGCAAATGGAATCATAGGATGTATAGTCTTTGTGTCTAGCTTTTTTCACTCAGCATATTTTCAGGGTTCATCCATATTATACCACCAGTATACCAATCAGTACTTCATTTCTCTTGTTACTGGTATTAGCCTTTTCTTCAAGGAAGCTGCATCCTTGGTTCAAGGAACCTGCTTTCTGCTTCTTTTAAGTATTTTTTTATTTTTCTTTTGATCTATATTCTGTTTAGTAGTTGGCATTGTACTGTTGGTACATACATTTATATTCTGTTTAGTAGTTGGCATATGTACTGTTGGTACTTACTTTTCTTTATATTGGTATGTATTTAATGGATCTTATTTGGGAAGTTACAAATTGTTATTATTTATTTTTGATGTTCACATTCTTCTATATTTGGCCCATGAGGGCTGCTTTAGGTTGTTGTCTGTCATTTTGACATTCTATAATTAGTGGAACACTTTCTTGCTTTCTGATGCAGGAAGATATTCTAGGCTTCTCTTCTATTTTCCTTCCTGTAATTAGCCTTTTCTCTAAGGAATCCTACTTTTAAATATTTTTATCCATGTACTTATCCATCTACCTGTCAATCTATTAAAGGCATGAATTTCTTCTCTTCCTCTCTTTCCAGCCTAATACCACAAGGTACATTCTTCCTCCTTCTATATTTTATTTTCTTTCCAAAAGTGAGGAACCTAGCTGTCATTACCATCAGTATGTTTATAACTTTGTTCAAGCCTAGAATTGACAGAGGTGGTTTCAAAATTGCTAAAATTCACTGCAAATAACCAATCTAGCTAGAATTAAATGTGTACAGTGAAATGCAGATTTTAAGTATACAGTATGAGTTTGAATAAAGGATACATCTAGATAATCCATACCCTGTCAAAATATAGAACATTTCCCTTACTCCAGAAAGTTTCCTCGTGGTCCTCTCAATCAAAGTCACCTCCTGTCCCCCTTCCAGAGGCATTCACTGTTCTAATTTCTTTCACCCTGCATTAGGTTAGTTTTGCCTGTTCCTGAATTTTAAATAAATGGTATCATATAGTATATCTTATTTTGTATTTGCCTTCTGTCACTTAGTATATTTGAGATTTGTTGTGTATATCAGTATTTGTTCTTCATTGCTGGGTAGTATTGCATTGTACAACCTTCCAGGAATTGGCCATTTTTATGACCTACTGTATTACGTAGATTCTTTGAGAGTAAACAAGCTATGGAAACTCATCACATGGGGGCTCTCTGTGAGTGGTAACTTAGAGTGATGGGTAATAAGTACCACCTGAAACTTCAACTTTGCTCATAAGCCAAGTAAAAAGGAAAACAATGAGATTTCAGGTTGTATGGCTGCTCTTGACATCATATGTAGATATGTGTGCCGTGCCAGTTGAAAAGCAAGTTTCTGATAACAGATTTGATGCTTCTCCCCATCCTGCTAGAAAGATGACGACATAGAAGAAGGAGATCTCCCAGAGCACAAGCGACCCTCAGCACCTGTCGACTTCTCACAGATAGACCCTGGCAAGCCAGAAAGTATATTAAAGATGACGAAAAAAGGGAAGACTCTGATGATGTTTGTCACTGTATCAGGGAGCCCCACTGAAAAGGAGACAGAGGAGATCACCAGCCTGTGGCAGGGCAGTCTGTTCAATGCCAACTACGATGTCCAGAGGTAAAGCACCAACAACCTGTGGAAAAAAATCTCAGGCTGTGCTAGGGCATTTTCTGGGGCTTTAGCAGGGTATCACTCTTGGCATTCTTCCCAAGGGACTTAGACCTTTCCTCTCTAGGATTTATTTTGAATTAAAAAAAAAAAAAATCATTATTAGTTAAAGTCAGTAAGTTTCTTTGTTTGCTATCACACTTAATCTTTAAGTTTTGTTTATCATTGAATCTTTAGCTTTTACGTCATCTGATTTAAAAAGTTGTATGGTTTAGCCTCTTGAGGAGACAGTCAAGCAAGCTTCACAGTTTGCTTCTTCTGGAAATCTCTCCTCAATGGAGAGTGCTTTTGTGTGTAGATATATTCATAGACGTTGCACCAGGTTGCTAATAGATAGCTAATTTAATGTGAAGGAACCCATTTTTATTACCTGGTATGGTTCTAAAATATAAAGAATCTGCATTTTTCTCCTTCAATAACAGTTTTGAAATTTGGGGCCATGAAAGTGATGAGAAAGAATTGAAGGAGTACTTAGAGAGTATGAAGGCCAGCAGAATGCTTTTGTTAGCTTGAATAGACACCTAGAGCAAGGGTCTCTGTAGAGTGGTAAAAGTAGCTGTGGGGTAGTCCCTCTAAAAAGGAGAGACTGTGCCCACCAGCCATGCTAGTAGGCCTCCCAGACTTCATTCTGTTCCTCTTTGCTCCTTGGATCCTATCCAGTGTGGATGAGCTGGGCTGCTTATTGTTAAACTATGGGTTAGGATCTCTGTCTACTTTCTGAGTGTCTTCTCGGGCCCTTCAGGGCTTCTTATGACATGCTCTAAGCCAGTGGTTTTTATTCTTTATCAACAGAAGCTTTTTCCAAACAAAACTACAACTGGACACTTCAGAACATTAAACAGAAATGGAAGTGGCACTTCAGAATATAAAACAAATGCCAATGGATGCTTCCTCCTTGCCCCACCCCTACTCCTGCAGCACCCTGTGCCACTAGGGAGCTTTCCTTAATGCTCTCATAACAGGAGCATCTACTCATGCCTCAAAGGAGTGCCCAGTGTCTGCTGTTTGTATCCAAGCAGAATATTTAATAGTTCAACAAACTGCTATCTTCAGACATTAAATGTTTCAGGTTCTGTATTCATGTGGTACATGAAGAGAGCTTTTCTCTTTGTCAAGTGCCACTTAATCACTCTGACCCATTAGTACTTTGCTAGTACATGCTAATTGTCTGATCACATCTCTGTCAGGTTCATCGTGGGATCAGACCGTGCTATCTTCATGCTTCGTGATGGGAGCTATGCCTGGGAGATCAAGGACTTTTTGGTCAGTCAAGACAGATGTGCTGATGTCACTCTGGAGGGACAGGTATACCCTGGCAAAGGAGGAGGAAGCAAAGAGAAAAATAAGACAAAACAAGAAAAGGGTAAAAAGAAAAAGGAAGGAGATCCAAAACCTCGGGCTTCCAAGGAAGGCAATCGAGCTGGAAACAAACGAGAAGACCTTTAATGGAGCACTTGCACTCCAAGGAGGAGCTGATAAGACACGGAGACCTTGCCATGTCATGGGCAGGACTGGGTGCAGGGAACTGCATATTGAATGACATCCTTATTTCTTCTAAAAAGGGTCTGCCACTTGATCAGTGTGTGGTCAGTATAAGAATTACTATTCTAAAGGCTTCCAGTATAAGGACAAAGTTTTTCTAATAATTGTGGACACTGACAGATTTATGTTTACTGTAAAATCACTTTCTGTGGAAACTTGACCTTGTTGCTTTTTCCCACATAAAGCTGGGGCATCATTGACTCCAAAGGAGCCATACCCTTTCATAGCATCTGCTCTGATCCGGTGACCTGATGTGTCCATGCTTCTGATTTTCTATCAGCCAGAAAGATGGCAGGTTCAAATCAGACAAGTCATGAAAATACTTAGTTGAGTCAAACTGTTCATGCTGCAGTCATTATTTTCATTGCAGCAAAGGCAGAACGTGCTGTGGGAGCCAGATAGCCAGTTCTAGACATACAACTAGGAACCCAATCCACGCAGGAAATGCAGAGAACAGAAACAATGCCACTTGGAAGTCCTAAGTAGTTATCTTTCTTTGACTGGCTTGCTCTCAGCAGTTGAAAAGAACTCTTGCTATCTGTCAGTTTTTTTTGTGGTTGTAAAGTAAGGGGAATCTGTTCTGTTTTCTTAGCTACAGAAGAATGAGGCTGGTGTAGAGGGCTCGTGTTCTGCTGACAGTTATGTGTGTATGAGTTAGGACCAGCCGAGTCCTTTGCAGGGTGGGGCAGAAGACTTGACCTCATTGACAGTATTTCTAAACATTTTTCTTTGATAAAGTGCCTAAACTTGTGGTTGATGTGCTACTGTTCATGTCTAGCTATTTTGCCATTCATATGTTGAAGCCTACTTGAAAGAAGAGTTAGAACATTTATATACAGATATCATTTTTAAGAACTAAAATTCTTTGGGGGGAAAAGCCTCAGTTGTGATTTTAAGGAATTTAAACTAGCACATATACATCCTTAGAAATGTCACTGTTAAAGATTGGTACAAAGTGCAAAGTACATCTCTACCCTGCTGCCAGTAACTTGTCCCTAGTGGAGCTACTGTTAATTTGTTTCCAAAAAGAAAAAGTATGTTTCCCAGCTTGTGTGTGTATGTGTGTGTGTTTTGGCCTTATAACATCTGTTTACACTTGTTTTGGTAACTGCTCACATTTCCCTCTAATGAACCACACCTTCTGCCTTCTTAGTTCTCAGTGGTGGAGACACAGTTGTCCTGCAGTCACTTAACCTCCAGGTCATTCCCCCTGCCGCTTTCCCCAAACCTGTGTGATCTAAGCCTTGGCATTAGTCCCAGTCAGAGTTAATCCCAATCGAGTTTGCTTGAGTACCCTCAGGAAAATTTGTTTTTCACTCATTTGAAGTTAAGATGTGAGACTGGAGCAGCTGCAGCCCTCTTGATATTTGAGTATAGAGTCAGCATAGTCATCCTGCAGAGGTGGACACAGAGCCATACCCTATTATCTAAGTTTCTAACTCCAGCCAGGTCTGAAACAATCCCTTTCCCTAGTTTTTGTTTTTTTTTTTTTTTTTCCTGTTTTTACTTAGGACAGTTTGTTAGATTTTTATAATATGTAGCCATAATGGTCCATATGTTGATAAGACAATTACTTTAATTGAAAAAGGGTGAACAGAGGCTTCACACTGCCCTCCACACAGAAGCCTTTTCAATCAGAATGTACAGCTGTATCCCACTGCTTCCCATGCTGTGTACAAAAGCCACTTCTGCCAGGTTTATTAAGCATGTCTTATACGCAGACAATACTAGGTGCCAAGGACAGGGTAGGCACAGCCCCTGCTATCATGGAACTCAGTAATTTGCTAGATTAAAACGAATATTAATAATAGACAAAGTAAAATGGTAACTGCTGGAAGTATGAAGTAAAAGAGTGCTAAGAGCAAGATGGGCACATTTTACTTTGTTGGGATGGTCAGAGAGGCCCTGCTGAGGGCAGGAGAAAGAAAAGAGGAAAATAGGCAGAAGAATCTGCCTTGTGTCCAGAAGTAGCAGAAAAGGGGACTTTAGAAACATCAGAGGTTGGGACATAGTGCAGGATTGGGCTTGAGGAGTAAGGGGCACACAGTGTCCTCTAGGAATTTGGGATGCCCTGAAGGATTTTATGCAGTTTGTACTGAGTGCACTGATTAGAAGAGGCACCAATGGGAATAAGGCATAAGTTGGGCATTTTAGTAGTTCAAGGCATAGTCTGTAGTGGCTCAAGTAAGCAGGGTGTTAGTGAGGTGTGATCACCACTCACCTGCACAGTTCCTGCTGAGGGACACTCAGATTTTCAGTGTCTGGCTAGTATAGTCAATACTGTGGTGAACTTTTTTTTTTTTTTTTTAAAGTACAGGGGATTGGACTTTGGGCACTCAACCACCGAGCCACATCCCCAGCCCTATTTTGTATTATATTTCTAGACAGGGTCTCACTGAGTTGCTTGGTGCCTTGCTGTTACTGAGGCTGGCTTTGAACAAGATTGTCCTGTCTCAGCCTCCCGAGTCTCTGGAATTACAGGTGTGTTTCACTGCTCCTTATATGTGGTGAACATTTTTGTGTACAATATTTTTGTGAACTTTTGTTTATATCTGAAAAGTAAATTCCTAACGGTGGAATAATCAAACCAAACAAAATTTTAGCATTTTGGGTATATGTTGCCAAACTGCTTTCCCAAGTGGTTTTGTCAGTATAGTCTCACCAGTAGTAGATCTGCCCTTGCCAGCTCTGGACATCACATCCAAACAATTTTATAAATTTAAAAACCATGTTTTGTCTATTCTCTAGCCACCATACGGGAGAGGCACCATTCTGAGTCCACAGGTCAATACCCTGGAGCCACCTGTTTCAGCCCCAGCTGTGTGAGTCTTTCCAGTGTAAGCACAGACATGAGTGAAATTTCAATATTTTAAGCCCCAGTCTTCCCCAGCTAACACCCAGGGGGAGCAAGATGAACTGTCCTGCAAAGCTTTAACCAGTCTGCAGAATGAAGAACAAAGAAAGTTGCTTTTTATGGAAGTGGGGTACTGGGGATTGAACCCAGGAGTGCTCTGCCACTGAGCTACATCCCCTGCCCTTTTTTATTTTGAGATAAGGTCTTGCTAAGTTTCCAAAGCTGATCTCAAACTTGCAGTCCTCCTGCCTTAGCTGCCAGAGTTGCTGGGATCCAGGCGTGCACCACTGCACATAGCAAAACCGTCATGTTTTTAACAAGTTGTCTTCCTCTTCATGTTGTAATATCTGTTGATAGAATACATTTGGATGATATCTTTAGAATAACAACCAGGAACATGACAATTTGTTACAGTGTACATATCCTTCCATCTTTCTTCATCCTCAGGCCGTCTGGTTTTTGATGTTTATACTGTAGCGTTTAATATATTTGATAGTTTCCTTTATAATGTCAAATGTCTTTTTCTTTCTTTAATATATATTTTAAATATATATTAATTTATATATTAAATATAGTTAATATATATATTAACTACTAGTCAAGGTGAGGGAATTCATGAACTTCCTCCTGTCTCCCTGGTTTTTGTTTAACAGTGTTACTTGTACACTGATGAGGTCTATATCTTGTCACCTTCTGTAACCATTATGTCCATCTTTATTCTTTGAAGAACAATGTGGAGAGTTTCACATTTCTGGGTTTTGCTTTTTTCGCCAGCACTTCAGACACTGTTCCATTGGAGAGGTCTGAGGCCACCCTTGTCTTTCCTCTTTCTATCAGATTCTGGAAATTTCTCTGCTTTCTTAAAATTCAGTAATTTTGCTAGGAATTACCTTCATGTCAATTTTTCTGAATTATTTTTCTTTTAATCCTCCCAGAACATGATAGATCAGTTCTAATTGATTCAACTATTTTTTTTCTTTCTCATTAGTTTGAAAAGATGTATTTTCTATTGTTAGTTTTAGTTTTGTGTTGGTATTTTGGGTACCAATTTGTTTACTTAACTCTGAAATGATTTTTTTTCCAAATCCCATTTAATTTTTGTCTCATCTTTGAGCTAGTTTTTTTTTTTTTTGTAATTCAAGTTTTTGTTCTATAATTAAAAAAATGACTTTGATTTATGTATTTTTGCCACAAGAGACTATTTATTTATATATGCATCCTATATTCTTTTGTTGTTGCTTTCTAGTTCCAAAATGCTTGGCTAGATGCCACATCTTTTTTTTTTTTTTTTTTCCTGTGTTACTACTTAGTAGGCATGACTTTTCTCAGAGCTTGATCCACATAGGTGTTTTTGGTGAGTGCTCCGTGACTCTCCTCCCTCCTTCTCTGAGCATTGTTTCCTTTCCTGGGTGCTGAACGTTGCTTTCTCATAACTGAACAAGAAAGAGAGAGGAGTTCAGACCGGATGCTGTGAGAGGTAGTATAGTCTTTAGCCTCCTATACCTTGAGAAGTTATAGCCTCTTGCCTCCTATACTTTTAGAATGCATTCAGGTTCTTTCTCCATGTTGGGGAGGGAGCAGTAACTGATCCCAAGAACGTTGATTGCCAAGATTTTAGAAAGTGCCAACCCAACTTCTACCTTGGATCCTTCTTAAATCCTTCACTCCCCTCACAGAGGGGAAGGCTGGGGTGTTTTTTGCTTCACTCATCTCTCTGTAGTAAGCATCTCTACTTTTGCCATGCAGAATGTGGCTTGCACCAGGGCAGACTTGGGTGTGGGAAGCACAGCACTTGCCACAGTCACACAGTTTTTTTTCCCAGTGGTACTAGGGATTGAACCCAGGACCTCAAGCATGCTGGGCAAGTGCTCAACTACTAAGCCACATCCTTAGCCCTTTTTATTTTATTTTATTTTGATACAGGGTCTCACTAAGTTGCCCAGTTTGGCCTTGAACTTGGGATCCTCTTGTATCAGCTGGGATTAAAAGCATGCACCACACCTGGCACCTTAGGCACACAACTTAAGGGTCACAAAACTCAGTAATCAAGACAAATAATATTTTAATGCAATATTTTAAAAATCAAAAAACATAATGAACAGAAGATGAGCATTTTAAATAAAGACCAAATCCAACAAACTGGATTTAGGGTGAGGCTGTGAGAAGAGGCAAGGAGGGACAGGGTTGATCTATCCTAAACCAGTAATCTTTGGTTGATTCTTAGGTTTTTATGTTTAAAACTTTGAATTCCATCCAGATGCAGTGGCACATGCCAACAATTTGGGAGGCTGAGGCAGGAGGATGACAAGTTTTTTTGTTTTGTTTTGTTTGGGGGGGGGGGGGGTACCAGGGATTGAACTCAGGAGCACTAGACTATTAAGCCACAGCCCCTGCCCTATTTTTGTATTTTATTTAGAGACAGGGTCTCACTGAGTTGCTTAGCACCTTGCTTTTGCTGAGGCTAGCTTTGAACTTGCAATCTTCCTGCCTCAGCCTCCCAACTGCTGGGATTACAGGAGTGGACCACTGTGCCCACCAGATGGCAAGTTTTGAGGCCAGCCTCAAAAAAAAAAAAAAACACCAGTGTTTTAATTCTACTCCAGTATTGCCAGCAACTCTTAGGACACTGAGACAGGAGGATCACAAGCACAGCCTGGGCAGCTTAGCAAGACACTGTCTCAAAAAAAAAAAAAAAAATATATATATATATATATATATATATACACACACACACACACACATACATGCCAGGTGCAATGGTGCACACCAGTAATCCCAGCAGCTCAGAAGGCTGAGATAGGAGAATGGTAAAGTCAAAGCCAGCCTCAGCAAAAGCAAGGCACTAAGCAACTCAGTGAGACCCTATCTCTAAATAAAATACAAAATAGGGCTGGGGATGTGACTCAGTTATACAGCATTAATGAGTTAAATCCCCAGTACTACAAAAATAAAAATAAAAAGTTGAAGTTCCCTGAATTCCCAGGTTCTTACTTTTAGGATAAAAGCTGAAATCTCGATTTTTATTAAATTAGCACCATCACAGTAATGTTAAAAGTTTTCTTGAAAAAAGAACAAATTCCCTCTACTAATGCACTGTCCTAGCTACTCATACAGTTTTTATTTCACCAGATTTCCTTTCAGACCATTGACTGAAGTGCAGCATTCACGTCCTAGTAGAAATAGCTTAAGGAT